CCGCCACATCGTCACAACGTGATGCCGGACCATTGGACTAAGTGGAAATTGAACAAAAAGGAGGAGAAAGAAGTAGAGGAACACGAGAAGACGGTTTACGATGGCAGCATTGCTATGGGGAACACCGTTGAGGATGCCCAGAAAGCTGCGCGCGAGGCCAAACTGGCCAAGACCAAGGCGTGCAGGACAAAACCAAAAAACTGTCATGTGCACAAAAAGACACATTATGTTCATTCAACTCAATTCAAAAGATTTCGACCGACTGTTTTTGGAGTTCTTCACTGACAAGGCCATGAAGGAGCAGAAAATGGCCCGAGCGGCCGCCAAGAAATCTGGAACAGTTACCACTGTTGCCACTACTGCTGGGACCTACATTGACAAGGACAGCCTGCCACCGGAGGCCAACACCAGCTACTACGAGAAGCCTATGGACAGCATGAATGTCATCCTAGCCAACCACAACTTCTGTGACATCCAAACTGCAGAGGCGCTACCCATTGTTGATGGAGCTAAGACTTCAGGGGTGCAGGCCGGGGTTATTTGACAAGTCGTTGATTCAAGCAAAAGAAATGCTGTGATTGATTGCGATTGATTTACCATGCTTATTTTAATAATGACTCGGCCAGGAACCCTTCAACGGCAAGGCATGCGAGATAGCCTTGCGCAAGGAGGGCACATACCGCTGCGGGATCAACCTTCTTTGGATTGACCCGTTTGCATCTATCACACCTGCAGTCCCCCTAGACCATTCCCGCGTCGTGGAGCTGGGGCAGTTCGCCTATCCTGATGGAAAAACTCCGAGACACCTCCAGGAGAACTTTCATGTAGCCACCGATGCTGCGGATGTGGACCTTTTGGGGAAGCGTGGAAAGTGGCGAGGAATCAGTCCTGAAGAGATGCAGCACAGTCTCATCTTTGCTTTGGCCAAGTGCATTGAGGACAAGGCAGGTGCAAAACGAGTCATTCAAGACTGATGTTGATTTCATTTTTGAAACGATAATACAAATTTTAAACTATTAAGGCTTGCGTTCATCTCTTTTCTATGCCTTTCAGGTGGACGATGACTGTCTCCAGGATTGGCGAAAAATCTTTTTGACGGCTCCTTGCGTGATTACCATCGTGGGCAACGACGACCAGATGTTTTGGGAAGCCTTTCGCAAAAGACAGCAAGTCATTGCCTCCTATGACTGTGTCAAGCGGTCAGCTCGACAACTTGCGCATGAGGTCCGTGCTTTCAAGGTGAAGAAGGAGAAGGAAACAGGAGAATCCCTATCCATCAAGGATATCACGGACCTTTTCGGTGAAAAGAAAGACCTGATGGCCAAATCTACTCGTCAGGGTGACATGGCCGACGGATTTGTCAAGGATTGCTTGTATGTCTATGACAAAATGTTGTCCGACCCAGACTGCAATCAAGTCCTTGATCGCTTAGAAGCATTGTTTGGCCTGGGTTCACCTTTAAATTCGCTGAGCAAGCTTCGGGTCGTCATTGAGAAGAGCGAGAACCTCGAGACAAGGCCAGCGGTCATTGATTGTTGACGTCATTGGTGTATGGTGTATATCAAAACATAAAATAATTGAGTGATAAGTTGCGCAACTTGACTTTGCTCAGGCAATGGGTCCTGCAGGTGCTCTGCGACATGATCGAAAATGGGCAGCTGGACAAGGATACCATTAGCAAAGGATATTTGCAAGGGAGTGGCACCAGCGCATCGCTAGTTGAACTGCTGAAGTTGAAGCGAAGCACTGTACAGCACTTTTTGCAGGTTCGGTTCGTGTGTTCTTGAAGCCGGTGTATCCATGAATGATGCTGTTTCTAATGTGTTTCAATTCCCTTGCAGGTGGAACTGCCAAGGAACCAGTTCGACACGGAGGATCCGAAGATGATCTATGAGAAGATCATGACAGTGAAGAACTACAGGAAGTATGTGAATCCGAGCAAGACAACGGACAGCTCTATCCTTGCAGAGGTTCAGTGGATGTCTTCTTTGAAAGGCTCAAGCTTGCTGGTGCTACGGCTGATGGAGGACGACATTGTTCTTGTTTTGAGTGTTCTTTCAGTCTTAGTCGTTCTTAATTTATAGTTTTTCGTTCTTGATTTGTTTTTTAGCTGTGTTTGCAGGACCTTCTCTACAGCGTGACTTTGAATGGACCGCTGGTTGTGCTCTTGAAGAAGGGCAAAGGTGTGAGCCCGCTCGAACTTCTCGACATTGAGACGTTCAATGTCCGGTGGCAGCCCTGCTTGGCTGCCAAGAACAACGAGCTGGCGGCGGAGAAGGCATTGTACCAACAGGATGGCAAAAATGCCAAAGAAGATGTTTGCACCCAGATCGCCGAGGGAAGCTTGGCGCCACAGCCATCCAAGTACCCAAAAGGATCTCGTGAGTACCTTGGATTCAAACCACAAACTTTAGACGTTCTTCTAACTCACTGTTATGCTTTTGATTGTCAAGTTTACGGAATCGATCATTGATCTGTCAGTGAGGCATTTTGTCGCTACCGCCGCG